CACTTATTGTGTCTAGTCGTTTGAGCGGTGTTTTGATCGCTCGAGCGATCTGCGCCTATATTAGTTCGTAAAACTCACATTTTCAATCATTATCTCATCTTACACTCTGTCTACACTTCAAAAACCTAGATTTACTCTCTCTCTCTAGAACTCATTTTTTACCTTCAAATACACTATCATTCATTGATCTCTACATCCTCATCCCTTTGATAGAAAGTTAGAGCTCAGCGAGAGCCTCATTCTAATCGAAGCAAAGTTGATTTTCGGCTTCGTCGATGTTTCTTCACTCTCTCTCTTGCCTTCTATCTTTGAGGTAGAAATTTCCCTGCACTTTTTGTATAGTTTTTAGCTTGGCTATTTGCTTTTCTTAACAATATTGTGATTTAGGGATTTTTGAACAAAATCTAGGATTTTAGTTCAAAAATCAAAAGAAGGATTTTCAAATGGATTCTTGAATGTGATCGTGGCTTTGTAGATGTGGTTGAGTTGTGATAAAATAGTGGATTTTTATCCTTGAAATTAGATTATAAAGAAAAAGGAATTTTGTCCTAAAATGTGAATATTTTATTTTGTAAAGAGGAAATGGAAATAATGTTGGGTTTTATAAAATTGAAATGATAATGATGATGATTGATGGTGGAGTTGGATATGCATTATCACTCTTATCTTGAAATTTTGAAAAGTTTATCTTTATTGAAAATTATTTATCTGTTTAGATATATCTGTTTTGGGTTATCAGTGGAGGATAGGTATGATTGTTGTAGAAATTGCATGAGAATTAAGAGAATTGAAACTAATTTCTCATCCATTTGCATTGAACATTGTTGCTTACTTGACATATTGAAAATGTATATTGTTTAAAGAAAGTGTGGTGAATATCTTGGTGAATCTGGGTAAGGGGTATGATTGTAAGATTATGTTGGCTTGTGTATCCTTGGTGAAAGTCCAGAAACCCGCGCAGTTAAGTGCCGAGCCTTCCAGTTAATATCGGTAAAAATGGCATTGATAATGCTTGTATAGCCTACTAGCAGACACGTACCTAGAGATTTCCATTGTTTGTAATCACGACCCTGTTTTTCTGTTGTAAAGGAAATGTTTTCATGAGTTGTGATATAAACCTAGCATGACATGATTTTTTAAAGAGATATAAAATGTTTTGGTACGAGTATTGTATATGCATTCACCTTATAGCTTTATTAGGATTCATACACTGCGTTAGAGTATCTCTATTGGGTTTTGGTTCACCCTATGTGAAAAACCATTTTCAGGTGCTAATGATATGCCTCCGCCAAAGCCGTAACTTGGGAGGACTTGGAGCCAAGAGCTTCTTTTTGTTATTGTTGTAATTATTTTGTACAAGCATAGGGCTTAAACTGTATTGAGTTAAAACTCACTTTTGTTATAATCAAGTATCGTCTTGGAAAGTTGTAACTATTAGGCCATTAATATATCTGTTTTGACTTTTATTTCATATCCTTTGCCTATGACATACGTTGTAAATTCAGGATTAAAACTTATAAATATATAGTTGCATGTGTTATTTTTTGTAAAATTAAATCATATAAATATAAAGTTACCATATTCACATATGTATTGTTAATAGATAGTTTTCGTGAGATATTATTGTTATTTATTTTGGGACATTACAGGGCTGGTCCTGTGTTCGCACAATCATGGAGTCCGGAGTTTCCCCTCTGAAGCCACCTTTTTCCCTCTACTTAGGTTTCCAAACCTAGCGCTTAGCTCACTCCCTTCCACTGGCCCACCAACATTTATCCCTTCCAAGATAACGGTCTTGACCACATGCACACAGCCTTCACCACTTTCTGATGCCACAGAGGGTGCCGAAGAACAGACTTGTATAGAAGGTACACCCACGTTTGCACGATTAGTACTGGGATTTGCCACCTGGTCCCTCGTACCATTTACCGTCGCACCTCTTTCCGGTTGCCAGAGTATGCCTTTCCGACGGCCTTCTTCCACCAGACCATTCACTCTGACCTCTGTGTTGTCCGCCCACCACCTAGTTTGTTCGGCAGTCATCTCCAGATTTGGAGGTCTACCCGTTCTTATTTCAGGTCCATACGTTGATTGCTCTCCAACCTCGCGGGATACAAACTTGCAGACTGCTTTTTCATGGCCAATTCTCCCGCAATCATGACAGAAGTCTGATAGTTTCTCGTATTTATAAGAGACCCATGATTCTTTTGGTTCGTTGTCCCGAGAAGGTTTGAGTTGGAGGAAGCAGACCAAGGGAAGTGTTTTAGTAACGTCCACATTGATCCTCTTCCGGAGAAAGCTTCTCTCTAATAAAATCCCATCATGCATCGCCTCCACCCCCAACAGATTTACAATCCTTCTGCCTATAATTTCTCCATTCTAACGAGTCATTTTGGCCATCGGGAGCCCATGAGCTTGGACCCAAAAGGGACACCATTGGAATTTGGAAATCAAGCTCTACCGTCGACCGACCAGCCTCTAGTGGTTGTTAAACCAGAAGGTGCCTCATTACTGACCATGGAGTTTTGAAGAGTACCATTCTCCGGTCCTCTGCCTCCATGAACTGGAACAAAAAGACATTTTTTGACCAAGGTGAGATGTCCAGCTTTGCCTTGCGTCTCCACGCATGTCAGAGAATGTTGTCCACCACTTGTTTGTTCAAGTTCTTCTGGGCAAGAACTTTGCCGATTAATCAAAGATTAGACACATCTTCATTTTCACACGATTCTTCCAGCAGCTCTATCTGATCCATGTCTTCGTGTAGGTGTGCCCTATTTGGTTAAAAAGATAAGAAGGTGTCGTTTCCATGGAAGCGGAAGACAGAACCCTGGAGGAAAACTAAACAAAGAATTCCTAAAAACCCACACACACGGAGAGCTTTCACCAAGGAAGAAAGGAAAGAGGAGAAAGAAAGTAGGGAACCAACCCAACACCAGTTAAGAAACCCTAGCTGGTGTGGAAGAGGTGAGTTAGGAAACCCTAGAAACCTACCAGGAGGTAGTGCCCACGGTTCGAACTCTAAGTTCTCCTGTACAGGTTGTCTATCAACCAACTCACCATCTACTTCTCGTTGTGAAATATCAACATATTATTTATTTATAATAACTGTATTATGATAGAAAAACCACTACACAAAATTAAAATATTATGAAATTGACACTAATATTTTAGTATATTGAACATTTGTAATAAACTCAAACACATAAATGTTTGATATAGTTTTTAAAATCTGTTTTTTTTTTTTTTTTTGGATAAAACTAAATATTAATTTAGTCAAAAAAAACAATTAAAACCACTTATCATTTTCATATGATTTTACTTTTTTTTGAGGCAAAGTTTTTTGTTTTGATTTCAATTTTGTCAAATTAATTTTAATTTTTCAAAAAATATTTTAAAAATTAATTCTAAAATTGAAACCAAATAATTAGATATGTCGCACATTTTAAATCTCTCTCTAACTTTTTTTTAGATGGCATGAAACAGCAGTCAAACAAAACAAATAGAACTCACTGCATCTCTCTAAACTTGTTTTTGAGATGGTTTGCTTCTGATATACAAACATGTGGATCAGTCTATATACACACACATGCTTATGCACATCTATATATCTTTATATATATAGAAACACTATATATGTTTTGTTTTATATGTGTTTAGGCTCGAACTTTTTTTTTTTATTTTAATATATGACTATATGTGTATGTAATTTTCTAAACTAATTTTTGACATTTTTGGTTTGGCTTTTTTTTTTTCCTTACATTTGAATCTATTAGAAAATAAGTTCATTAAAGTGAACGGGTTAATTGGATTGATTTGTCCAACCCGCACACAATTTAACCCAATTTGTTCAAACCCATTTAGTAAATTTGGGGGGGGGGGGGGGGGGGGTTTGGGTTGAATTATTTTATTATTTTCCACCTCTACTTAAACTCACGTCACCAATCTAAATAATCCAAACTTAATTAATATAATGCAAGAGCTCTCCATTCCTATAATTTTTGCTCAATATATATATGACATTGTATATAAGAGTCTTATATAAAGGTTAGGGGTACCATGGCCTATGGTCCCTTCAGCCCCAACTTATTTATGAGCTATGATAGAGACCCCTCCATTCACCACCCCCACAGACACGTGACGGGTGGTGATTGGAGGAGTAGGAAAAAAGGAAAAAAGAAAAAGAAAATGTAGCCAATAAGAGAGAGGGGGTCAAAGGGGGTGGGTGGAAAAGGGGGCATGAAACATTTTTGCTTATTTATGCTCATGTTCTTTCTCATTTCCTGTTTATGGCTTAAGGCTACGTTTGGATGTAATCTTATTATCAGAAATCACATTATTTATGAGAAAATGATAAAATTTTAAATTGTTGTGGGCTCATCTAACTTTTATTACTCTTAAATAGTTCACATTCTTTAGATTTTCTATAAGAGTGTAGTGATAAGATTATTGTTCAATTTGAAGAAGTGATTATAGTTTGAGTAGATAATCAAAAATCACATTTCTTTTCTAATTCATTATAAACATTAAAATTATGAAGATCTAGAATCATATTCATATTCGAGATTCTTGTCATTCAAAATGACTATTAAATCAGAAAATACAACGCTTAGGAACCCATCTATTGGTGACGCTAATGTATTGCTAACTTGGATGAACAACCCATCTATTGGTTATGCTAATATATTGTTAACTTGGATGTACGGTATAGTGCACAATTTGATAAATTTACAGAACTTTAGGCAAAGAAGTAATAAAATTAAAGAACTTAGAATAAAAAGTTATAAACAAAAGAAGTTGTTCCTTGTAACTATGTCTTCATTATTCCCAAAGAGAAATATTGATATATATGTATATATATATATTCACGGTCTACAACAATTAATTTTTACAGACAAGATAATGAATGATCAATGTAGATTCAAATTAAGCTCAGCTTACAAAGTGATTTTGTACATGTTTTTTCAAAAAAAATAAAACTGGCAATGATAAACAGAAAGATGTTAATAGCCAGGGAATATTGGTGGTGGGGGTGATGAGTACTCTGCGCCTAAGATTGGTGGGAGGATGACGTCTTCGAAGATTGGTGTTGGTGGAGGTACGACAGGAGTAGGAGGAGGAGGAGATAGGGATGGTGGTGGGGGTGGGGGTGATTGGACAGGTGGTGGTGGAGAGAAGACGGGTAATGGTGGTGGGGAGTAAACAGGTGCTGGTGGTGGGGATGACAAAACTGGAGGTGGTGGGGAATGCACTGGTGGTGGAGGAGAGAATACAGGGGGGGGTGGGGAATGAACTGGTGGGGGAGGAGAGAAGACAGGCGGTGGTGGAGAATGAACTGGTGGAGGTGGGGACGCATCGAAATGCCGGTTACGGAGCCCTATCGGCGCAAGATGTCTTTGGGCCGATTAAGACTCCGAATTCGCAGTGCCTCTGATGCATAACACCCTAGGGCAGATCATACCTCCGAATTCGAAGCACCCTTCGGCGCGAACAAAACGAAACAAAACATGCCAACATTTGAAATAAGGTGCTTAGCTAAGCATATAAAAAATCCAGAGTAAGACGCAAATGTTTGAAATAAAACTTTTTATTTGATCAAAAAAGTTCTTTGAATTTACAGGTGGGGGGGGGGAATGAACTGGTGGGGGAGGAGAGAAGACAGGTGGTGGTGGTGGAGAATGAACTGGTGGGGGTGGGGAATGAATTGGTGGCGGAGGAGAGTGGACTAGAGGGGGTGGTGAGAATACAGGTGGTGGAGGTGAGTAAATTGGTGGGGGTGGGGATTGAACTAGTGATGGGGGTGATGAAAAGGACGGTTTAGTTGGTGGAGTTGATTTCACTGGCTCGGGAGATTGTGCAGGCGAGAAAATTGGTGGTAGTGGGGATTGAACCAACTGTGGTGGAGGTGATGGGGAGGATGGTTTAGTTGGCGGAGTTGATTTCACTGGTTCATGAGATTGTACAGGTGAGAAAATTGGTGGTGGTGGGGATTGAACTGACTTTGGTGGGGGTGATACGGAGGACGCTCTAGGTGGTGGAGTTGATTTCACCGGCTCAAAGGATGGTGCATGTGAGAAAATCGGTGGTGGTGACGGCTTAATTGAAGTTCCTGAGGATGGTGGTTGTGATGGAGAAGTAGGGTGAGATGGTTCATCGGGAGTTGTCACTGGCACTGGAGATGGCACGAAAGGTTTTGAATGGGTTGAAATCGGTGTCACAACTGGAACTGGAGTTGGAACCGGAGACGACTTTGGTAAGGGTGTTGGTATCCTGGAAATGGAAGGTGGAGAGGAAGTCTTTGGTATTTGTGGAGTCAATGGTTTGGGTGGAGGGCTTGATGGATTTGTGGTAGGTGGCTTGATAGTAGGAGGTGGAATAGTGGAAGCTTTAGGCGATTCTGATGTGGGACTTGGTAACTCAGGTGTTGGTGGCGCGTTGGATTTTGGGGTCGGTGAATTTTTTAGTGTAGGGCTTGATGGGGTATGATGTGATGGTGTTGGTGTTGGCGGAGGTTGGGATTTTGTGTTAGTAATTGGTGGCGATGTTACTGTTGGTTTTGGTGTTGGTGGTGGTTGTGGTTTAGTAACCGGTGGCGATGGTACTGTTGGTGTTAGAGTTAGTGTTGGCACTGGTGGTGATGGGTTATTAACTGGTGGAGATGGAGTGGATTTCGATGGATGTTGTGGTTTCGGGGTGGTTGGGGTGGGACTAGATGGAGGGTTTGGTGTTGGGTTTTTTGGGGTAACAGGACTAGGGTCCTCACTATTAGCCCTACACTTGTCACTGCAATCAACCGGTCGACTCACAACTGGCAAACAAATAGCCTTAGATTTCTGTTTCGGTCTATCCTCCAAACAATTCCCCTCATCTTCCAATGTTACACCGCGCTTTGGAGCAGCATAGCATGCTTTGCCTATTCTCTTGAAGTAGTTATCGGCAAATGTGAAATTTTTCAAGTTTGTCAAGCTACAAAGGCTATCAGGAACACTACCTGTAAACTGATTGTTGGCAAAATCCAAGGCCTCGAGGCTCTTCAACCCTCCCAACCCCACTGGCAACACGCCAACAAACTCGTTGACACTTAAATCCAAAATGGTTGCCTTTCCTAACAACCCTATTTCCTCTGGCATACAACCGCTCATCTTGTTGTTTGAAAAAGTAATTTCGTCCAAATTAGTCATGTTTCCAATGCTCTTAGGAATGCAACCAGTAAATTTGTTGTTGGCAAAAACTGCCACGGAAACCGATGACTTGCCTAGGGTTTCAGGGATGTTGGAGGTGAATCGATTATTGTTCAACAACAAAGCATCGAGTTCTTTCTCAAAGAGCTCTGGTGGCAATGGCCCTTCAAAATCATTGAACCGGAGATCAAGGTAATTGAGCTTCGGCATTTCTAAAACAACTTTTGGAAAGGTGCCAACAAATCGATTGTTGCTTACATCAAATTCACTCATGAGTCGGAGATCCTTGAAACTCTCAGGGATGATTCCACAGAACCTATTTGAATTAATATGAAACAAAGCGAGATCAGTCAAAAGCCCTAGATCGGAGGGGAGGTGTCCGGCGACATCGCCATGGTTTAGATCAACACCAGCAACGACGCTTACTGTCGGATCATCCAATGCCGAAGAACAAAAAACACCATTGTAGGAACAAACATCAGCGCCAACCCAATTGCTAGTGATGTTGGAGGGATCAGAATAGATAGCGTTTTTCCATGACTGGAGGGCTTTGTAAGCTCGCTTGAGCCTTGTGTTGGCGAATGTTTTGTGGAGTTCAATTTTGTATTCGAATTCGGCAGGGTTGGCGGCGAAGGTGGAAGAAGAAAGGATGAGGAGGGAGGAGAAGAGGAAGAGGAAGAGGAAGCAGCCAAAGGCCTTCATGTTTGGAGGATAAGCCATGGGAGAGGCCCAAGGCTGCTTATAGGAGTGAAGATATGCATGATGAGACAGAAGGAGTTATATGGGGGGCGTTTGAAAGGTTGTTGACAAAGGTCGCCAATTTTAGCACCGTAATTCATGGTGAACACTGTAAACCACAAAATTTGGAGGTGCATATATAGTTGTCTGAGACAATTTAGGGAAGGCTTGTTGGTTAGTTTAGCTTAATAAAATGAGATAGGAAAGGGCTAAAAATTGATAATGACCAAGTCTTACCGTGGAGAAATTATCATGTAAGTCAAGAACACCATGTCAAGATGTTGATGTAGCCTAATTAGTAACACGATACCATATGTTTTGTTTTGTGCCACCTCATCAACTATTGATAAAATAGATGGCAACTTAACGCTGATCTTTTTTAGTTAACAATGACCAGGAAATAAATTCAATGCAAAACTTTCTGAAGTCCCACTTAAAATTTTGAAACCCATACAAAATTTATCAAAAAATTTAAATCAAAATCATAAACTCAAATCACCATAGGCCCCCAATCTCCATAGGACCATCGCCTTCTCGAGTAATGACAACCACAAGAAGTCAACCATAATGCAACAGAAGACCAGCATCATGGCCATCTTCTTCATTCTGTTGGGATATACCTCCTTATTGGAGTGTGGGACCCAGTTGATTTATTAAAAGAGTTTTAATTTGGCTTGATTTAGGTATAATATATTTTTATATATTATATTTGTGGAGGTCCAATTCAATTTGGATACAATTAGAGTTTGATTACAAAACTCAATACCAAGTTATATATATGATATTGTTTTGTTTGTCCAGTGAGAGATCTAGCGGCAGCAACAAATTTGTTACGGCAACTGTGCTTAGTGTATAACTCTAACTTGTTGGGTTTTTCAATTAAGTACTGATTGTTGCTCTGGGTTTTTGATTGGGTCAATCAAGTATTGATGCCTTGGTTTGGTGCTCTACTTTGAAACGGCTGCCATTCTTGTTTTTGTTTCAAAAGGTGAGCACCCACCATGATGATCATGGTGAGAAGCTGCGGTTTTGATTCGGTGGTGGCGTGGTTTCGGCAACTTTGGTGAAGTTGATTTGGGTTAATTATTTTGGATCTTCTACAACTCTGTTTCAGAATATTTTTGTTCATCTGTCTGGTGAGGTCTTTCCTCTTTTTTTATTTGTGATTATTTGGAATTCACCTAAGGGTGATTTTTGTGAGATCATTAGTGTCTCGTTTGTAATCGTTTGAAACTTATTTGGTTGATAGTGGAATCAGATTTTGATCCCGTGGACGTACCTCACATTGAGGGAACCACGTAAAAATTCTTGTGTTGCCTTTGATTTAATTTTTCCGCATTAGTTTTTATTCCCACTGATTGATTTACTTGTGGAGAATCACATCGATTTTCCCTAACACATTCACCACCCTTTTTTGGTCATTGGACAATCACATAGCCATCATATGTTTTTACAGTTGCAACCCAACAACCAACACCACAACCAACTGTACAACCGTGAACTTTCGCACACCATTTTTCACCGTCTTGTTCGGCCACCAAAACCCGCATATCCACCCACCGTTTTCTCTACCACAAGTACTACTCCACCTTGAGCACCACGTCTCCGACCCTATGTCCATGGTTGTGTGAAATGGTGTTTACTAAGAGCATCTCCAACTCTGAACCAAAGTTTTCATTAAATCTGAGTAAAAAAATGACTTTTTCCTCAATCTGATACCGAGTGCTCCAACGGTTGATTTTCATCAAATTTTTATCAAATCTGTGCCGGGATAACCAGTTGGTCGACTGGTTAAGCCAAAAAAAAATTTTTTTTTTTTGATTTTTTTTTTTTTGAACCTTTTAGTGACCGGCCAGTCGACTGGCTGGTCGACCGATAAGGCAAAAAAAAATTTTTTTTTTTTCAACTGTTTGACTTTTTTTTTGCAACAGTTTGAACCTTTTGGTGGTCGACTGGTTGGTCTCCCATAACGGTCATGCACAGTGTTTTGATGAAATGCGGAGCCTGGTGAAATCTCGATTTGATATCAATTTGATGAAACCGTTGGAGCATGAAAAAGTATTTTTTTCACCAAATTTTAAATTTGATACCAGATTTGATTCAGAGTTGGAGATGGTCTAATGCCATCTACTTTTGTTGATATTTTCATTGATAAACCCCATTGGGAAGATCATTAGTAAGCAGTAACTTATGAAAAAAAAACATGTTTTTTTAAGTTGATAAAGCTAATACAACATGAAAAATTATTAATTTGTCTTGAAGTATCATATAACATTACATACATAGTGCTCCAACCAATAAAAAATAATAGCATACTAAGTGGGTCATTTTTTGTGTTATAACTAGCACACAAGGTAGGTCAACATTGTTCCACCCAAAAAGGTTCTGGTACACTATTAGTTGGGAGTACTACGTGAATAATGTTATATGCTCATTTCGAGACTACCTAACGATTACCCATACAATATTACTTACCATGCTTTGGTTAGAGTTTTTCAAAAACTCTTTTCAGAAAATTATACTTTCTTATTTTTCGTATTTTTTTATTTTTGCTGAATTTTTTTAATATTTTAAGTAATTTTTTTTACTTTTTAGACATACCTAACATAAATATATCTAAAAAGTAAAAAATTTGTAAAAGAAATCTTTTAAAAATTCACTAAATACCAAAAATACAAAAAAAAAAATACGAGAATTCAATACATTTTTTTATATTTTTATGTATTTATTAATTTTTTAAAATATTTTTTCACAATTTTTTTACTTTTTAGGTATATGTATGTTAGGTATGTCTAAAAAGTAAAAAAAATTACTTAAAATTTTAAAAATATTCACTAAAAACAAAAAAACACGAAAATCAAAAAACACAATTTTTAAAAAACTTAATCCAAAAAATTCAAACCAAACACACTGAATCAATTAATTTTTTAAATTAATAATTACATCTTTATTTTATGCAATATAAGTCTTTTTACCCGTCAACTAAATAAAGCATGAATAACTATTCGAATTAGAAAAACGAAACCTTCCACTTAAAATCAAAAAAGAATTCTCTCACAACTTGACTTTCTATTTCTTTCACCTTCCATCTTTTAATAGAATTCCCAAAGTGAAAATATAGAAAATGTAAACTAAAAAATATTTTTCATAAGTTATTATAATTATTATCAAAGACTATTTTTGTTTGTTACAACTTTAATCAGCCATCCCTAATTTGATTGGCAAGGCATCAATTTGTTTCATACTCCAAGTTTTGACAATGGCTTCAGATCAGGCTAAAGGTATTGATGTACAAGAATGTAAGTACGATATATTAATATTTCGTTTTTATACCCATTATTGATGAGATTTGATATAATTAATATTTATGATTTTTTTTTTATCCCTTCCTATATATTGTGTGAAAAAATTAGAAATGTAATATAGATGTTTATAGTTGTAAATTATTTGTTTTGAGTGTTGTCTTATTTTTGTAAACATTAATGTCGATATGGATAAGGAAATCATGGATACCCAAATATTAATTAGATTGATAAAGTTGTGTATCATTAAGACTATGAATTTGAGTTGAAATTAACAAAGATTATTTAAAGTGAAAGTGGAGTTTTTAATTTGTACAATAACTACGTCATAAACAAAGGTTTTAATGTTCACAAAACTTTTACTACGTAAAAACAAAGGTTCATAGAACTTTTAGTATAATTTTTGAGTTCTCTACCATTTTTTATATCAAAATTTTCCTTTTGTGAACACTTTTTTTTTATCAATTTTTTTTTTTATCAGCAAAAAAGAACTTTATTGATGACAAAAACATACAAATACATATGAGAAGAACATCAATAAAGAGGTGGAAAAACAGAAGCGCATCATAGCTAACAAACTCAATCCCAACTAGGTTGGCACCGAAAAGAAAGCTCAAACATCTGTGAGCTCAACCACAAAGGGATGGTGAGAGACCATGCCCATAAAGAAAATAAAAAACCCCAAAAACTCAACCCCTAAATCAAACCCACAGTTCATTCCACGCAATACATTCCCACACAATTCACCTGCAAAATCACCCATAAGCAAAACACCAGACCAGAAGAACATCCCAGTGCTCTATAGCCCTGTGACATCCAATACCCCACTTCACAGTAGCAATCACCATGCAACACACAAATAACTCCAGCAACAGGGCAGCTCCTTATAAGCCCATAGACCACACTCCAGAGAACTCCAAACCAATTCAATAGCAACACCTATAATCACCACCCAGCTAGCAGCAACAGTGGCAAAACCTGTGATGACTATATTCTCCACCCAGCTAACAGTAGCAGTGGCATCACCTAGAATCACCACCCAGTAACAAGACCACTGACTGAGCTAGCAACTTCACCACCATCACCCAAGCCTCACAACAACTGAGAAGATCAGACTAGCATCAATTAGAAAGATTTGCAAACTGAGCATAACTGAGCATCCAAGAAGCAAAACATCTACACAACAGATTCAGCAGCAGCACAGCACCTTGAAATCCATCACAGCAGTAGCACTCAACAAAAATGAATAGCAGAACAACTAGCAACAGAGTAATCAACTACCATTTCTAGCAGACAGCATACATCAGCAGAGGCAAAATCATACTCCAGCATACAGCATGCAACAGAAGGATAGGCAGGGTACTTGCTCCAGATCATTCAAACTCCACATCTAGAACAGAACTTCACCAACAGACAGCAACAGAAGCATACCCCAGCAGCATACAAAGTAGTAGATGCAAACAGCAGAACCACACAAGATGCAAACATCATACACAGTAGATGGAAACGGCAAACAACATATACACCAGACAGCAGGCCTTAGACACATACCTTTGGTAGAATTTTTGAGATCTCTAACATTACTCTTTTGATATAAGCATGACACAAAAGAAATGCGGGAACGTAGTTTTTATTGCTTAATGGAAGGATTTAAGACAAACGAACACCTTTGATTGTTTAAAAATCAGTAATTAAACTAT